AAAAAAAAAAAAAAAAAAAGAAATTCGTTGAAAAATGAATTGAAAAGAATCGTTCGAGAAGTTGCTGTAGAAACATTTGAGAAACACCGAGGCGAGAGATTAAATACTCTCGTTCGTTAGGTGAAACAGTCATGGACACTTCCAGGTTAGGAAAATAACCTAAAATAATCGCACTTGCGACATCACGAAATAGAAGTTTCCGGGATCTGGACTGTCTGTCTCGGTCCATTTCCGCGTGTTCGACGTGGACTGTAAATTTTCGTAAGTATGATAACAAGTATGATACATGGCGAAACACGATCTGTGAATGCTAATAGACGGAATTAGTTAGAGTAACGGAGGAGGCGTTGACGTTATCTGGTGTGTTGGCGGTGTTGTCATCGAATTGTTTTGATCGTCAAAACAGATCGATAAAGAAACGGCGTTGCGTTGCGTTACTCTAACGATTAATTTAGCAAAATTCCCTTTATTTAGCAAAGTTCTCTTTCTTCTTATTTCTGCAATTTTCTTTCCACGATCTAATTCAGAACAGATTTTCTACGCTCGATCGCTTGATGTGCATACGTAATGCTAGGATCGTCTTGTTGATGTCTTTTTCTACCTCCACTCCTGCTTCCTCGACGACCGGTTTTCCAATCAGGCAATTATCAATCATGTCACCGGGAGAACGCGACGGGAAAATCCTCGGTTTTTCATCCAGCCTGTTTTCTCCCCACTTTTGTTTTCTGCTCTTCGAAACTTGTTGAGAAACTCGACCGATTATTTTCGTCAATTTCTCGTACATCTAACAGTTATTACTACAATCTTTCGTTTGAAATGTTTGTAGGTTCGTGTCAAGGCCGACTTGTACATACGTGGTTACTCGCAGTCGAGTGGGCTGTTCGTGCCACTGAAATATTCTTTTCGTTCGAACTGTTATCTCTCTCTCTCTCTCTCAACATATTTTTTTTTCGTTTACAATGTTAAATATCGTAAATATTTTTTTCATCGTTATCGAACTTCACTACCGTCGAAAATACGTAAATTGCGTTACAATTTAAAGCACGATCCACGTCAAGTGTTTGGATCAATTCACGACGTTCTTCCAGGGGGATCTATCCGGGGAATATTAAATTCCAGCGTCGAGGCTTAAATCTTATCTGAAAGCATTTAGCGACAATTTGTTCGCGGACACGTATGACGTACAATAAAAATTGGACGAGCATCGGAGGGTCATCGCTGAATTGATAAGAATGACGTCAGTAAAGGCTTGATCGTCGGTGAACGCTTGAATGTGATTTTTTTTTTTACGAGCGCAGCCATATCTAGGCGGGACGAGTGCGAGTCATGTAACACATGTCGAGTTACAATATGCCTCGATAGTCGATGTTCCCTATTTTATCTCATTTTATGCCATTTCGGAACGTTGAGAAAATCCAACGGAGTCAAGTCCACTTTTAGGTTAGAAGAAGAAGAAGAAACAAATTCTAGTTTCAAATCATTTGCCACCTTTTAAAACGATCAAATCAAGTATACTGAAAGTTTATTGCAAGGCTAAATTGATCCTTGGGCATTTAGGAAAACTTTCATGTGAAAATAACAAATTTTAAAATTTACAAACAGTTTAGATCAGATTGAAAAATGTAGAAGAAATCGAAATCGTTGCCTTCTTCAACTGGACGAAATTGATCTGCATAATTAATTAAATTAAATCGTGATGAAGAGAGTTTGTTTATGTTTCCTTCTTTGGAAGCAAAGGAAAAAGAAGCTTTGAAAATATTAATCACGTCAGACTCAAGGCGACCCTTTGATCGCTTTGTGCGTTCGCTGAATCAGCTTACCGACTTCATCAAAAAGCTTAAAGACGTATAAATAACCACATTCCGACGAATATCGATTATCTTGTTCAGCAAAGTTGAAGTTTCAAGTATAGAATAATTAGATCGACAGTGTGTGGCCGTTCAATAAATATCAATTACATTTCAAGTCACTTTCAATAATAATAAACTACAATTATTATCTGGATAATCGAATATCTGGAAATTGATAACTGTATCTGTTGCACTCTCAGTTGTATTTAATATCATAGCATGCGTGCAATTCAATATTTTCAGCGTTTATCTATCAACTGTAAGAAAATTACAAATGTTACAAATGTAAAGGAACGTAAGATGATAAATAACAGTAACCAGAAATACAAATAATGTACAAATGTAAGAAAATTACAAACGTTCCTTTTTAGTAGAAGGATCATTGTATTTAAGTGTGAATAACATTTGCAGAATTGCAAATATTACAAATATAAGAAGTTATATTACAAATTTTATTATATACTATATTTATAATATCAATATTACAAAGAATGTAAGAAAATGACAAATAACAGTAACAAGAAATACAAGAAACTAACAGATAATGTAAGAAAATTACAAACATTTCTTTTTTAGCAGAAGGATCATTGTACTTAAGCCCAAATAACATTCGCAGAATTGCAAATATTACAAATATAAGAAGTTATATTACAAATTTGTAATATCAATATTACAAGGAATGTAAGGAAATGACAAATAACAGTAACAAGAAATACAAAAAACTAACGAATAATGTACAAATGTAAGAAAATTATAAACGTTTCTTTTTAGCAGTAGGATCATTGTATTTAAGCGTGAATAACATTTGCAGAATTGCAAATATTACAAATATAAGAAGTTATATTACAAATTTTATCACATACTATATTTGTAATATCAATATTACAAGGAATGTAAGAAAATGACAAATAACAGTAACAAGAAATACAAGAAACTAACAAATAATGTACAAATGTAAGAAAATTATAAACGTTTCTTTTTAGCAGTAGGATCATTGTATTTAAGCGTGAACAACATTCCCTGAATTACACATTCGAGCAAAAATCTAGAAAGGAAATCTATATCCATCTGTCTTGGAAAAAATTCTAATAATTCACAATTTCCATCCTGTTGTTACCAAAGAAGATGTGTCGAAGATATGGGAATATTGGAAATTTTCCAACAGGATATAACTCTAGTCGAGCAAATTCTCGTCTGCACGCTTTCAAATATAGAGAACCTATGTTTTGCCTGTGAATTTTAGCCGAGGTTTTACTGCACGAGCCTAATTTCTCATCGATCGTCACCCAACGTCTTGCAACAACTGGACAAGAAGGAACTGTGATGACAATTTACTGCATAAATTACAGGCAATAGAATGAACAACAAAGGGTTGAAATCTTCTCTTCACTCGCAAACATGGAATAAAAAATTCACGGCAAACCAGGAAAAAGAAGAGAGAGAGAGAGAGAGAGAGAGAGAGTGATCTCATCGCGTTTTTTCCACATAATTCTCAGATACGTCTC